TATTCTTACTGTGTGAATTTTACTGATAATAATTTTATTTCCTTATTGTTTACCTTGCCTTTCATTTATTTTTCTATGATTCTGCTGTACTAAAAATATTGTGTATATACCTTTTTAGAAGTTTGTATGAAAATCAGCTTATGGTTGCTGCTTAATCATTTAATTTCTTTCATATTCAAATAAAAAAAATCTAATATTGTTGTCACTAATTCTTGCAGCGAGTTAGTGACCAAATATCTGAATATGCAGCAGAAACTAGCTTTTTTATTACTCTTATCAATTATGATGAGAATTGAAATTATATCCATCATCAACCTGATTTTTAATATTTTTATTCATTTAATCTAAATTTTGTTTCTTATTTTTATTTTTATTATTATTTTTGTCATAACTAATAGTGTTTTTTTTATTCCCCTTGTGGTATTTATTTATTCATTGGTATATGCATGAACCAAATATATTTTACACAATGATTTTCAGATTAACATTACAATCTATATCAGTACAATAACCATGGTAATCATTATTAAAAAAATATATATAGAATAACCCAATCATCTTTAAACCATAATGTCACTTATGTAAATATCCAATATAATAAAAAAAAATTGTTAACTACAAAACACTTTCCATTATTCAGTATCCTAATTTCAAGGGGATAAGAAAACACCAAAATTATCTTTACATATAATAAGATATATGAATGATTATACAAAATTAACAAAAAGGGATGACTTAAGGTACAAAAACATAACAGGAAGTAGCTGATATCCTGAACAAATGAACAATCAGTGATGCGATATAATGCCCCAGAGATAATACTTTCCAAGGTAAGTTCCTGTTATTAAATGGCGCTGAACAATAATTAAGGGGAACAAATGTGTATTTTGTTTCGTGTTTGTCTTTATTAAATTTCTTGGGTGACAGATGTTATAGGGAAACTATATGTACATATACATACAGTATTTATTTATATAAGTATATATATATATTTATAAATCCATATATATACGTATATAATTATTTATATATCTATACATATGTGTATAAGGTTTAAAATTATTTTTGCGCATTCAGGATTATTTTATTTTGTCAAATTTTCATATAAACCTTACATATCTCATATCAATAGTGCCATGCAAAGATCTATATGTAAAAGTCAACCCTCATCATAATAACAGATAATAATAAATGATAACCATCATAATAATAATAACAATAGCGATAAAAAAAAATAAAATAAAGAAACGCACGTCACGAATACCAGCATTACCAACACTCCCCCCTTGTTGACAACGGACACAACCCCGACTTAACATCCTCTTTTTTCCAAATTTTCGAACCTCTCTCTACCCTCCCGAGGTTCTAAACAATATCCAAGGGCGTGAGGTTCATGTCAATCCACGATTTGTAGTGGGACACGCGGGTGAAGACGGCAGGTAGGCCTACGTTGGTGCACATAGGGAATCCAAAGCTTACGACGCCGATCTGGGTACACTGCACGCCGGTACACGCCACCAGAGGGCCGCCGGAGTCACCCTGGGGGAGGAAGAGGGAGCGAGGTGATAAAGGGGGAATAGGGAGAGTAAGGATAAGGGTGATAGGTTTTGATGATAATGATAATAAAATGGTGATGGTGTGATTAGATTGGTATTGATGATATTGATAATAAAGTGATGGTAACTATGATAACTATAAAAATAACAATAACAACAACAATAATAATAATTACAGTGATAATGATAATGACGATAACAGTTTCCAGATGTTACTATATGAACTATAACATTACTAACAAAAATGTAGCGCAAATAAAAAATCAATAACATTAATAACATCAACAATAACAAAACTAACAACAATAAAACTCCACAACCTTTCCCTCCCCCCCAAAAAAAAAACATTAATTAAAAGAGGAAATTAACTTCTAAAAGAAAAGAAAAAAACGAAAATTAATTAACAAAACCAACGAAAAACAAACAAACAAACATAGAAAACGGGAAATGCCAAAAGCCCAAAAACTTGTAGCACAAAAACATGACCCAAATGCCAAACTTATTGAATATTTTAAATAGATTAGACAAGTCGCCGACATTTGGTTTGCTGTGTTTTATTGCTGTCGTGGTCAGCTGTGTCCAAGTTTTTTTTTATTTTTTCTTTCTTTCTTTCTTTTCTTTTCTTTTTCTTTTTTTTTAAGTTTTGAGATATCGAGGGAGTTTTCTTTTTCTTTTTTTCAGGAGTTTGATCATTTTATGGTATGAAGTTAGAAGTTAGGTTGCTGTGTGATGTGGGTCTTCTCTCTCTTTATCTCTCGTTCTCTTTATTCCTCCGTCTCTCTCTCTCTCTCTCTCAATACCCCAATGTCTCTCTCTCTCTCTATCTCTTTATCTCTCTATTTCTCTAACCCTTCATCTCTCCCTCCCTCCCCCT